GGGGGGGCGGGGGAAGCAGAGGGCTTGCCAAGCCGCCAAGGCCACTCAAGTCTGGACGATAACTTTTCTCCTTTTATTTTTAATTACCGTAATTTGGACTATTTCTCGATCTCCAAGCATGGTGTCATCCGCGCCCAGGACCCTTCTTATTACATGTAATTTACTTTTTCCCCTCCAAAAAAAAAAAAAAAAAAATGTAACAAACCTTCTCTCAATCGTCACAACGTAAAACATTTAACGGATCGCCCGAAGGAGAAAGATACGTTTTTTTTTCCCCCTTTTCTTCTTGAGGAAAATACCTTTGCCCCACTGTAGAGCTTTCCACAGTTAACATAGCGGGGGAAAAAAAAAAAAAAGAGGAAACAAAAGAAGTTGGCAAGTAGTTCTCTCGCGCGTAATGAGATCCGCTTATAGCGCGCAGAGAGCGGATCTCTGCCGGGGCCGACTGGCGCGCAGATCTGCAACAGCACAAAGTTGGCGAGTAGTTCTCTCGCGCGTAACGAGTGATCCGCATATAGCGCGCAGAGAGCGGATCTCTGCCCGGGGCCGACTGGCGCGCAGATCTTTTTTTTTTTTTTTTTTTTTTTTTGGTCCGATGGACCACGGATCAGATACTACACTTGATCTTAGCCAAAGCAACAGCACAGCATAGCGGGAGGAGATTTGCGATGTGACGTGCTCATGCCTCTCCCACACCCCCCACGCATCCGATGGCGATTCTGAATCTTTCTTTTCCCAAACCCAAACCAACGCCGGGAGGAAAATGGTCACATAGGAGGAGGAGGAGGCGGAGGAGGAGGAGGAGAATTCAGTAAGAGAAGTAGAGATGTGAAGAGGCAGGCATGGAGCCCGATCGACAAATCGATACCCCTTTCCTCCATTGTTTCCTCCATCTCGTTCGCCGCGTCCATCTCTCCTCTCTCGCTTTATCCATGACTCCCTCCTCCTCCTCCTCCTCCTTCTCCTTCCCTCCGTCCCTTTTCCACCCAGCCAAGTGGATTTCCCGCTTCCACAAACGCTAAGAGCGCCATCGCCCCCCGCCAATAGCGCCATCTCAAAAGCGCCATTTCCTCCCGCCAAAATCCCCCTCTCCTCCCGCCAAAATCTCCTGTGAAAACCGCCATCTCCTCCCGCCAAATGAGCCAAAATCTACTCCCGCGCCATCTCCCCCTGTAAAAAGCGCGATCTCGTCCCGCCAAAAACGTCGTCTCCACCCGCCAAAAACGCCACCTCCTCCTGCCAAAAACGTCATCTCCTCCCGCCAAAAACTCTGACGACGGCGGGAGATCGAGGAGAAGGAGAGGCAACATTCTGCAATGTGTAGGTTCTCGGCCCGTTAGATCGTGCGGGCGATCACACTACTCTCCTCCTCCTCCTCCTCCTCATCATCATCATCATCATCATCATCATCATCATCTAACGGGCGACCACAATACTCTACACCTCCTCATCCTCCTCCTCCTCATCTAACGGGCGACCACAATACTCGCACACATCTACGCGGGCATACGCGATCACAAGTATGCGAATCGAGATCTTGAAACGCGAAAGGATTAACCGTTAGATCTCGAAAGGACTCGTAGCAAGGAAGAAATTGAGAGAGGGTGGAGGGGAGAGGGGAAGGAGCGGAAAGGAATTGAGAATTGAGACATTTTGAGAATAGCAAATCCAATCTCTAAGCGTCCGTGTACAACAAAGTCGTCATCACCAAAGCACCCACACGTACATAGCCAAGCTCAAGAGAGGAGACGCAAGAGCGAAGGAGCGAGCACCACCACAACCGATCCGACAGCCAATCAATCCTCTCGCATAAATGGTGATGACTTACGATTACACTGAAGAAAACACACACACACACACACACACACACACACACACACACACACACACACACACACACACACACACAGATGAAACAATCAGTCACAGCCGCTCGTTTGTTGTCCTCTTCTCCCTCTCTGTGCCTACGGTTCACCGAGGAATTCTCTATGACGACATACAGTACATATAGCCATAGAGAACGAACCGGGAGTAATCAATGCTCGTCAGGGTTCCTTCGGCCAGACGGAAGGAAGCGTGACTGTGTTTCATGATGTAATACTACGGTAGTATGTTATTTCTGACTTGCCAGTGGAATAGGAACCGGACTGACGCTCCCCAGAATGGAAATCGAGCCAGGGCCGTCAGGACCTGTTCAAAATAATAATAATAATAATAATAATAATAATAATAATTTAAATAATAATAATAATAATAACAATAATGTAATAATAATAAAAATGTAATAATAATAATAATATAATGTACTAATAGTATGTATATGTATATGTACATGTAAATGTATATGTATATATCGTCACAAAGATATCAGAGCGCAAAAGCGAAAAAAACAGAAAAAACCAATTCATTTTTTTATCTTCTTACTTACAACTCCCCCTGTTCAAATATATATATTTCCCTTGCACCCCGATGTCTCTTTCTCTTTCTCGTACAGTCGAAGTAGATGACTTGCTCGTGAACTTGTGCATTCTATCGACTCTACGACACGATTCGTTCCCCCTCTTCTCCACTTTGGCCTCCTGCTTCCCACGCCAATCTCCTCCTCCTATTTTTAAACCGGCACCTCCTCTATGCCTCCATATGTGCCTATTTGAACGTTAAAGAAGAAGGGGCATAAATGCAAGGCGGAAAGAAGAAGGGCAAAAGCCAGAAACGCAATGTCGAAGAGAAGGAGCAAGAGCGTCAGTCGTGTGTGTAGGGTTTTTTCGGCGGGGCGGAGGGGAGGCGCGGGGGTGGGAGGGGACGCGCGGGGGGGGGGGGGGGGGGGTCCTCGAGCGGACAGGGCCGGGGGTAAAGGGGACACAAGAAAAAAAGACAGGATGGCAATGGCAAGGAAAAAGGGAGGAGGATGAAGGGAGTGGGAGAGAGGGAGTCGTGAATGAAGTGAAAGGAAGAGAAAAGGAGGAATAATCTCCATCGGCAGCGAATCTGTCGCTTGGTCGCTCGAAGTGCTGAGGAATTGACCACAAAGGACAGATTTACGAGGAAGAGAAGAAAAAAGCCATACGAGGAGGCGATGGAACGGGAAAATAAGTAATCCAATTTGCAGAGGAGGGTAGAGAGTAGAGAGTAGAGAGAAAGAGATGGAGAAAGTAGAGAGTCATAGAGTGAAAAGAAGTAATCAAATTTCAGTATTGGGAGACAGGTAGAGGGGAGAGAAGAAGAGAGAGAGAGAGAGAGAAAGAGAGAGAGAGAGAGAGAAGGAGACAGTAGAGAGACACAGAGTGGTGATGAATAAACCACAAAGGACAAGAATTGGGAGGAAGAGAAGACAAAAGGCATACGAGAAGGAGATGGAACGGGAAAAGAAGTAATCCAATTTCAGTACTGGGAGCCCGGCAGGAGAGAGAGAGAGAGAGAGAGAGAGAGAGAGAGAAGTAGAAAGTAGACAGCCATAGAAGACGAGAGGAGGGACAGGGGCAGAGTCAAACTTGCCAGTTCGATAACCATCATGTTTGAGTAGCGGAGAAAAACGCGAGAGTGTGCAGCGAGTCGGGGGGGCAAGTCCCACTTACCCGAATTCTCGCCGTAGATTCTGAAGATCAACGGCCAGAAATGACGAATCTGGTCCAGTGGGACGTAGTCCCGGGGGGACAAAGAGGGACACTAGAAGGATACTAGAGGGACACTAGAGGGACACTAGAAGGACACTAGAAGGCAACAAACTTGTTTTAAATTTTCAAGTGATGTCATTCGGGAGATGTAGAAGATAGGGAGAACGTGAAGAAGCAGCCAATCGTAATAGGAGGAGGGTGGGAGGGGTAGGAGGAGGAGGAGGAGGTGGTGTACGAGGAGGGTTCAGAGGAGGAGGAGGAGGAGGAGGAGGAGGAGGAGGAGGAGGAAGAATAAGGGGTGGGAGGGAAAAAAAGCATGCATGCATTGCTCTTAATTAGTCCTTCGGGACATACTTTAAAATTGGAATGATGCATGCACCCAGCCCATGTGGCTGAATGGTACATGCATCATTTCAATTCACTCTTAAGAAACAGATCATGAGTTCAATTTCTGATGGATGAATCAGATGGATGCAATAACGAAAGGGGGGGAAAAAAATGGAATAATGCAGAGAAGATTAGCATTAAAAAGAAAAAAGGGAAAAATATATATATATATTGTCACAGGAATATGGCCTTGTACGCAAGAGGTTCTGAACAGGGGGAGTTGTAAGAAAGAAAATAAAAAAACGAATTATTTTTTTTCTTGTTTTCTTCTGTTCTTTTCGCCTTTTCGCTCTGATATTCATGTGACGATATATATCGTCACAAACAGATATATATATATATGGCCTTGTACGCAAGAGGAGGTTCTGAACAGGGGGAGTTGTAAGAAAGAAGATAAAAAAACGAATTCATTTTTTTTCCTTGTTTTCTTCTTTCTTTTTCTTTTTCTTTCTTTTTCTTTTTCTTTTTCTTTTTTTTCGCTTTTGCGCTCTGATATTCTTGTGACAATGTATATGCTAATTAGTATTTGATTGACAGACTAAATGGCAGACAATCATTCGATGGCCGGGTCCACGTGGCAGACGGCCCATTCATTCATTCGATGGAACGATCGCAGACGGATCCATTTCTATCCTAAGAGGGGACAACTCTCTTTACCCGCTTGCTTGTAGCGGGAAAGGGCCTCGACGCAGTACGCAGCAAATGCACAAAAGACAGAAATGATGAAATGATGGCGGTGCATCCTTCCATGATCTAGCGGAAGATTCATTCTCATTTTGCACATTTAGTGAGTAGTGCGGCGAGGCCCACACCTAACCGAGGAGCGATCCGCATTTCGCGCCCTCTCCCTCTGATGGCGACGGCGATGACGACAACGAGCAAACAGACAGCGAGCACCAATTTCGTTCTCCCACTCCCACCAGCTACACTGCATGACGACAACGGCCGGGACAATCGCGTACAGTATCACCGGGGAAAGATCGTTGGTTGTAGCCGTACCTGACCGAGAAAGCGATCCGCATTTCGCGCCCTCTCCCTCTGATGGCGACGGCGATGACGACAACGACCGGAGAGAGATCACCCAATCAAACAGGGGGGGCAAGGTGGAGAATAGGGTCGACAACAACGAGAGAGAGAGACAGAGAGAGAGAGAGAGTAGCAAGCAAGCTGCACTGTAGAAGGAAAGCCCTACCGGTAACCAGACGGTTCAGCAGGTTCGAACCCGCAGCGAACGAGCGATCGCGGAAGCACGCACTGTAGAGAGCAGGCACGGTGGAGAGTAAGGGCCAGATCCCACTGGCAAAGAGGATTAGAATAAGTGTCTGAATCAGGACGTGTTCCATGAAGAGATGCAGAAAAGCATATCAATTACAGTTTCTGCACCTCTCCACAAGCACGTCCAGATTCAGACACTTGTTCCCATCGTTTTTGCCAGTGGGATCTCGACCTCACCACCTAAGGTGGTGAGCAAGGGGAGAGAGGAGGGTGGTGCACGAGGAGAGAGACAGTGGGTTGGTGAGTGAGGAGAGAGAGAGTAGCAAGCAAGCTGCGGTGGAGAAGAAAGGCCCTACCGGTAACCAGACGGCTCCGCAGGTTCGAACCCGCAGCGAACGAGCGATGGCAGAGGAGGCGGCGGCGGGCAGTAACCCCCTCTCTCATCCGGGGACTTCCGTCGCTACCGCCAAAAAATCGTTCTACCTTTTCTTTTTTTTCTTTTTTTTCCAAACCAAAAAAAAAAAAAAAAAAAAAAAAAGATTTTGAGGCCGGGGGCCAGGTCCCACTAATTCAGCGTTGAGTTTCCTCAACGCCTGAATATGGACGTGTCTGTGGATATGTGCAGAAATCGCGTTGAGTTTTCTCAATCGCACATCTCCACGAACCCGTCCAGATTCAGGCGTTGAGGAAACTCAACGCTGCTAGTGGGACCTGCCCCCAGGGTGGGAAAAAATCGTTCTACCTAACGTGGCACTGGCGGTAGGCCCCCGAACACACGAAAAAAAAAAGTGGAAATTGCGTGTGTATTTTTCAATTTTGGAAGCATTTGCTGCGTTATGCTCCTCAAACTTGAGATAAATGCCAAAATGCCGCTAAAAGATGTGGGTAGAGCGGTATGCCCTTTTGGGCCGAAATCTTTGTGATATGCCCCTGTGACGCCGGCGGCGCCAATTTGCAATCTGCACCTCTCCGTTGGGGCTGGGCCTGGACCCTGTTTTACCCGGTTTGCCCCTCCCTAACCTGCGGACGACTTTGCAGAGTACCCAGGCCCTAGGTGTGGCAATTTGGGACTACGAATTCAAACATTTGAAAAGGTCACTCGATGTTGGCCACCTCACACTGGGTTCGTCTCCGTCCTGGTAAGTTCCGCCATCTCCGACCTCCTCCACCCTGGCCATTCCTCCAAGGTGTGTGTGTGTGTGTGTGTGAGAGAGAGAGAGAGATGGTCACATATCTTCCCATGTTCTAGCGGGAGATTTGTTCTCATTTTGCACCCGTTGGGATCCCGATCCCAATAGGAAGAGAACGAACATGGCGCTAGAACATGGGAAGATACACCACCAATTTTTAGGCTTTCATACACAACTGATACCACGCTCGGGTGTGGGGGCGCAGCCAGGCCGGCGGCGGACCGGCGACTAGTCTATGAGAGCTGCGCAATCTGCGGTTGCGGAAATGGAAGGAACTCTAAAACAAGGTCGCATTCAGGCACTGAGGGAAGTCGTTGCCCCTACTGGACCTTGCCCCCCTACCCAATGACAGAGTAAAAAAGGGATACTACTGTGAAATGCCCCTAGTGGAACTAGGCTCTAAGATCAAGTGTAGTATGTGTTCTGATCCATGCAGACGCGGGCTGTACGCTCGTAGTTGCAGAATGGGCTTGAAATGCACAAAAGACAAAAATCATGTACACACACACACACACACACACACACACACACACACACACACACACACACACACACACACAAAGCCATCGTTATCAACGCTCCTTGGCGGCGCCGTTATCAAGATTCGTCCATTGTGATGCGTCGTCGCCTTCAAGCTCCGTCATGCGGTGGCGTTGATGTTTTGAATACCTGCGAGAGGGGGAGAGAAAGGAGGAAGGTTTGGTGTTGAAGAACAAAGG